CGTACAGCAAACGCCTTATACGTTTGCAATGGGCGACGTATTGGCATGCAACTTCAGCGCTTGCGAGCATGGCTTTCATGGATGGATACCGAGAGAGAGCAACTATAAATACGTGCCAAATCCGTCATTAGTCCAAAATCCAGTTGGAAGTGGCAAAAGGTCCCTTTCTGGGAATGCTTTCCATTAAATTTAAATGGTGTGAGCAAGGCAATAAAATTTTCTCATTTCAAAAAAAAAAAAAAAAGGAGTGTTTTTAAAGTCTCACTCGAGGTGATTTAAGGTGCTTTTGCAAGAGTTTATTAAATTATGTAATGGGGAACAGAGGAGTCGAGGCGCGGAAACTTCCACCCAAATCAGGTGGAAGAGGGCTGAGGGAGCCCAGGCTTATCCCGATGGAAAAGCGCCCGAGCCGAAGGGGAGCAAAAATAAACGCATCCTCCCGCCTCATCTATTATTCATTTACTGCTCCTGCCGGCTCGAGCCGTGCCAGACTATTTCATAAAAGACGGCCAAATATTTTAGCGACTTCCACTCTAAATATTTACCCGGAGAAAGGCTAAAAATCTCGAGGCCTATTGTTTTCTCAAGTGCTAAGCCCGATGCGAGGTGCGAGACGAGCTTTAACAAGGTTTAAAATTTGAGAGATGTGTTTGCATGAGATGCCCGCGCTGGAGGCATTGTGTCTGAGCGGATGTCTTTAAGAAACAATTTAGGTGCTAATGGAATTTAATGTTAAATGCTTCCCCCTTCAAAGGCGGGGGGATGTGGAGTTCTCACCTCCAAATTACTCCCCGGCATTTGGAGTCCTGGCAGCCGGGCGAGAGGAATCCCTATGAAAATTAAATGAAGTATTTTACAGACGTTTAGTTTTCCCAGCGGATATGCGTTTATCTCGAATATCCATACACGAAACAATCCGCCCGGCCTTAAATCTGTCGGTAATGGTTTCCAGTTTAACAGGATAGCGGATTTGGTACCGAGGGCGAAGCGGCCGGCATTTGGAGTCCTGGCAGCCGGGCGAGAGGAATCCCTATGAAAATTAAATGAAGTATTTTACAGACGTTTAGTTTTCCCAGCGGATATGCGTTTATCTCGAATATCCATACACGAAACAATCCGCCCGGCCTTAAATCTGTCGGTAATGGTTTCCAGTTTAACAGGATAGCGGATTTGGTACCGAGGGCGAAGCGGCTCGGTGCTGCTGCTGCTTTTTTTTTTTTTTTTTTTTTTTTTTTTTTTTCTCTTTTTTTTTTTTTTTCTTTTTTGGGCAGGGGAGAAGCCCTTCCAGTGCGAGTTTGAAGGCTGCGACCGGCGCTTCGCCAACAGCAGCGACCGCAAGAAGCACATGCACGTCCACACCTCGGACAAGCCCTACCTGTGCAAGATGTGCGACAAGTCCTACACCCACCCCAGCTCCCTGCGGAAGCACATGAAGGTACCCGGCCCCGCAGCCGGCGGCGGGAGG